GAAAATGTTTTCAAAAGAGCAGAGCAAGCATCTATCATAAACTTAGGTATGGGCGTCTCTGTTATCGATATCATTGCATTAGTCAAAGCTATCGATAACAGTAGACAAGTTTTAATAAATTTAATTTAAATTTAATTAAGAACTCGTTGGTTGTAGGGTAAAAGATTACTGAGAGAGAATATATATTTTATATATTTTAAGCATTTTTTAGAGTAACTTCTAGCTACAATAGCTTTTCAATTTACAGTTCTATTTTAACAGGAAAATTCAAGTTTTCATATAAATTACAAAGTTGTTTGATCTATAAATTAATTATTCATTATAAATACCTCAGAATTTAAGAAAAAAATTAAATATTTATAATATTATATTATTATATTATTATTATATTATTATATAAATTATATAATATATATTAATATATAATAAAATAATTAATATCTATAATATACATATTTTCTTACCTAACAGTTCTTACCTAACTACCTTCTACTTTATGTTCTATAAAAAATATAGAACTATTGAAATTTAATGCGTTTTCCGAATAATTCTACAAGCTCAAAATGTTTACTGCGTTGCAGCATTTGCTTAGCTCAAATACCACAAAAACTGAATATTGAAAAAACAATTTTAATAGTAGAAACTATTGTAAACGTAACAAAATTATTATAATATCAGTTCTGTGCCGAATTCAGGGTATTTCCTAGTCGTGCCCTCCCACTAGAGCACTCCGACTTGTTTTCTTTGCAGCAAAATTTTTTCAACATTCTCATAAATATTTAAATACAATTTTTACAGTCATTAAGCAATTTAATTTTTTTCGTTATTTATTCAAATGAAAACTAGAAATTTGTGTATAAACCTCCCAACTAAACAACTTATGATATGCCTTCTACTATATATCACTGTTGGCCATAAAAGCAACACTTATGACAAACTTTTGTAGTCATAGTTGCATCAATCGTTCAAAACGACGGCAAAGCAGCTGCTATAAAAGCTTTTTTATTGGAATCAAGAATAATGTTTACCTACAGCTACGATTAACAATTAACAATAAAGACTGCAACAAGTCCAATGGAGATATCCATTGGCATTGAATTATTCATTTGAATACGTTATTTCTGTGGCTAAAAATAAATATTTTATTTGATGTAAAAAGCAAATAAAATAATCAAAAGCTCAAATTGTTTTTTCAAGTGCTAAGCGGCTTAGCGCGTTTTCCACAGTTTTTCTCTTCAGTTTAATTGTAGAAAATTAAAAGTGTAAAAAAAAGGAAGGTAGAGACAGAGAGTGAGAGAAATAAAAATAAAAAAAATGAATAATATTGTTGCCAATTCAACTATAAGTTTTGCAACTCGAATCAGCAGATAAAGCATGCATAGAGCATTCTCTTATAACTAAGATGATTATACCAACAATAATAATCATAATAACTATAATGGAATCTGTTTTAAAATTAAGTATTTTCTGTACAGTTTACAAAGAAGACTAAAACTTCTCAGATTGAGAGGTACAATAGATGGAGAGCGAAAGCAATTCCCGATCTAGAACAGCTGCTAAATAGAAAGTACGCTGAGACATCTTCTATGAGACACATAGAAAGCATTCGCCTTGAACATTATTGAGATAAATCAGCAGCATAAATCATTCTCAACTAACTCAACCAATAAAAGATATTATAATAAAAATTAGTATACACGGTCAATGATAATGAATAATACAAATTCTAGTGGAATAATTAAATTCTCAGAATCCTTTCATACACTTAACGTTTCTTGACTAATGAATCACCTTTGGTCATTGCTCTAGCGTCTATTTTGTATTTTAAATCCTAATTGAACTCGAGTTCAAGAAACTCGTAAAAAACCTTGGCACACACATTTGAACCATGAAGTTTTTGTTTTTGTTTTGTAAAATAAATGTGATGTGTTTTGCCTGCAAATATAAACATTTTCGTTTACACATTTCATTATTTTTCTTTTTATTTTTTTGTTGGGGCTTTTAGGCTTTGGCAGGCGTTTCTTAAATTGCTTGTTTTTTTTGAAAATTTAAATGTTAATTTAATTGAAATTAAAAAAATTTTATATTGAAGTTGAAATAATATTCATCATATAAAAAGGTATATAAGAAAAATGTTTAAAAAATTTAAAAATATATATAACAAATATTGAAACCGAAATTGTGTATGATTTGAAAGTCTGCAAAAATTTGATATCTATTTTCAAAGTATTTTGTTATTAATAAATCTGACTTTTTTATTTATTTAATTTTTAATCTATTTTATAATTTTTCCTTTTTTCAATATTATATGTGTTATAGTTTAATTTAGTTGAAGAATATTTTTATTCATAAAAAATATAATTCATATAATATAATTCATATAATATTATAATTATTTTAATTTTTTTGATCAATAACATTTAAAACATGTTTCATTATTTAACATATTTGATTGACTTTTCAATCAAAAATCAAATCAAATAATATTTGAAATTAAAAGTCTTCCATATAATTAGCAAACATAATAAACGGCCAGCCACAATAAATATATAAATAATTTCATTGATCCATTCACAATGCAGTCGCAAGGTAATTAGCTGCAATTTATGAAACTAATTCGAAAAAACATTTATTTTGAAACACCAAAAATTAGCGCCTATAGATCAAATATTTATATATATATTTATAGAACGGTGACAAAATTGAACAAATTGCGTCACTGGCAAATAAACAAATGGGCAAAGAGTTTATACAACGAAAATAATAATTCATAATATAATTATAAAGCAATTTATTATTATGGGCAAAGCGTACGTTTTTTTTTAGTCAAAAAAAAGAGAAAAGTAAATGATTTATCTGAATTTTACTGCAATTTGCACAACATGCAGTTGCAATTTGTACGTGTAAGCCCCTCGGCAGGCCCCTCTATATAGAGGTACGTATGTTTATATCATGGCAAAGGCCTTAAACACGAATTATGGCCACTATTAACCCAATTGTATTTGGCCCTGGCTGCTGCCAGTTGCCATAAATGTTGTCAAATATAAAATATAAAAATAAAAAAAACACACGCACATAAAATAAGGAACAGCAAAAGAAATTGCTTGAGAACTCGAGAACAATTGCAGTGGACAAATTGCAGCAGCGCGAGCAAAGAAATCAGGCCAAGACGAGAGCGAAATAAAAATAAATAAAAGAAATTGCAATTCTCCAGAAGTGGGTTCATTAAACTGATGAATGCCTACGGACCAACTGGCTGCGACATAAATATATATATAGGGCACTCAAATTAAAATATGTATATATATAAGAGATTGTGCGCTTGTCATAAGATATGGCCATAAAGTATAGAGAGAGATTATTTAGATGATGAAACTTTGAAATCATGAAATCATTTTTTAATATATATATATATATATAAATATATGTTTCCAAATGTATACATATTTATTTAATCATATATGTTATATATCAAACAAAAAAAATAAAATCAGCATCTTATTATTTTTTGTATAATCCTAAAATTTCTAACTTAAGTTTTATTTAAACATAAACCTGAATTAAAGCAAAAAACCTTGAAAAATATCTTAAGTTCTCATAACTAAGATTTAGTTTTAAATCATTTTAATATATGAAATCATAGCTATATATATTTTTTCACAACGAAAATCATAAAATATGTCAATTACATTATTCTAATATTGCTTGTTTAATTCCTAAATACAACCGAAAATTTCTTCTTTCAATTTATTTTTGAATATTAAAACAGGCAGCAAAATATGATTCATATAAATTTACTCAGAATCATATGTCTTTAAACAACAACTACAATTATATTAATAAAAATTGCTTCCGTGTTTTTTCAATATTTGTTTGTTTTTCTACATGTTTTCACATATTTCTGAGTAGAGGCTCAATTACAAAGAACAAATTCTAATCAATTCACTTGTACAGCTGGTAAAAACACATTTTTCTGAGACTAAAAAAATATATTATATATATATTTGATTGATTTGGGTATTGAAACTATTTTATATTTTAACTTTAACTTCTTTTTTGTTTAACTGTACTTTAAAAACTCTAAAATCTTCTATATAAAAAAGAGAAATTCTTTTTTGTTCAACCTGAACTCGTGCATAAAATTCGCATATTTCTTTGGTAAATGATTTGACTGCTGCAAATTTGACAAGTTCAAGTGGCAGTGGCAGCTGCATCCTCCCACCTTGCCCCTTGTCCCCTGCTGACTGCAACCAATTCAGCAACTTCAACTTTAGCTGCTGCAATTTATGCATTCAAGTGGCAGCAGCCACGACGACGATGATGAGGCAGCTGCTTTCATCTTGTATCTTGCAGCGTGTATCTCGCATCTGCAGGATGCATTTGGCCGATTGTCAAGTGTTTGCCAGCACGGTTCTTATCAAAATTCGCGAGCATCATTATGCCATCACAAATTACAAACACAATGGCGTAATTCCCAGAACATTTCCAGCACTCGAAGCAAATATTTGGAATTTTTTATTTGAAAAAGAAAAAAATCAAGTAAAGCTAAATTTCAAAGATTTTCTATCTTTTAGCTCATTATTTGTCAATTTAAATTAATTTATAAATATAATTCTATAAATTTATATACAGAATAATAGTTCTTCAAGAAAGATATTTGTAAATATATTTTCTTGGGCTCTTTAAGATTCTTCTGGAAAGAAATGTATCTAAAATGAAAATAAGAAAACATTTGCAATATTTTCTTCTAGAACTATGTATTCTTTTTTCTGCCAGTGTAGCTTATCAGTTTGCATTCACCACTGACAGTTGCGAGTTCAAAAGTTCTTCAACAACATTATCAATTTATAATATTAATAATCAGCGTCAATATAAGGAAATTTATTACAATATTTTTTTTGTATAATACTTTTTCCAGCTTAAGCAACTTGAAACTGGTTTTTGTTTATAAATGCAAACTTATAAATATTATTTAACTTAACTTTAAGTCTAGAACTTACCTGGCAAAGTCCAAACGTCGCTGACAGCCAGCACGATCAGTAGAACACCGCACAGCAGCTTCATATTTATTTTCACACGACTTTTTTCGCTTTTGGCTTTTTATTTGAGTTTAACAAATGTTTTTTATTTAGTTTCTTTTTTTTTAAGTTCTGTTTTGATTTGTTTAGGATTCTTTTCGATTTTTTGTTGTTCTGGCACCGGTTGCCGGATTCGGTTCTGTTTCGTAAGACAAACAATAGTCAAATGCGCTGAACTGCGTCGAGGAAACGGCAAATAAACAGAATGAACGAACAGAAATCACTGAGTGAAATGAGCGCAACAGATTGAGCGCCACAAAGAGTAGGTGAGAATCGTGGGGCGACACCGAGCACTAGTGAGAATCATGTGTACAGCCGTCACTCAAAGCAAAAGCCACTCACACTCAATTAGTTGAGCTATTAATATGATTAAATGGCAACGAGGCAATCATTAAAATAAGACCTAAGCTAGAAACTAAGAGCATTATGAGTTGAGTATGAAAAGGGGGGCTGCAGAGGGTATGACACTGTCAGTAAGTGACTTTTATGGAAGAAGACAAGTAGGCGATAATTTGATGATATCGTATTTTAGCTAAAAGCGAGCCTAACTGGAAAAATCCTCACTTAGATTTAAAAAAAAAACTCATATTAAGTGCTATAAATACATAGAAAGCAGTACTAAAAGAAAAAGATATATGGGCGAAATTATTTTATTTATATATAATCATGTTTAAGAGAGAGGAAATATATATTTAAGTGCCAAGAAATATATTTATATTGGAAAATAATATTCCACAATGCATACAAAAACTAAAATAATATAATGCTTAGCAATTGATTGGTCAAGAGCCCAGAATACAACTGGACATGTTGTGATGGACACTAGTGTAGAGCAATGCATGGAGGCGAACGCGGCGAATGCGCAATTTTTTATTGTGTTTGTATATTTAGTTGTTTGTTGTTTTTCTCTTTGTATATTTGTTGCATGTGCCCCTTTTTTGTGTGCGGGCTAATCAATTGTCGTTTGTGCTTCGTTAGTTGCACGCCTAATACTTTTTTTTAATTTTGTTTTTTTTTTGCTTAGTTTTTGTATTTTTGCTTTGAGAGAGAAATTATGTCAATCAGCTGGTTGGCAAAATAATCACTTGTCGTTGGTTGACTGCCGACCGAGTTCAGGGTCAATGTTGACTGACTTTGTAAACAATGGAAAACTGCTTGAATCACTTAATTCAATTATCGAAATGGTTGTTATCGATAACTTTTATGTAAGCTAAATGACTGAACTTTAGCTGAACTGCGAAAAGTGCCTCATTCCGACTAATTAAATTATAGTTAACTCATTTAAATATCATGTGGAGATGAGGCATATAATTAAATTGCTTATGATGGAGTGTTTCTGGATAATTTGTTAAGCGAAGTTGAAAAGTCACGACTGATCGTTGTGCATACTGAAAATCACGATTAAAGTTTATGAATTATATCAGAAGGGTCTCCAAATCACTTAGCTTACAGCTACGATATTGCATTTTATAATATAGTAACAGTTTAATTGGAGATCATTTACAATAACAAAATGTAGCTGATCTTGATTGAACTAGCTTTATTTAAATTTTATTTGGTTGTTTTATTTAAATTTTTTTATTTTTTCATCAATTTTTCTTTACATCAAAATTTTTTTTATGAATTTTTTAGATCTTTTATTATTATTGCAATTATTTTTTTATACAAAGTTTTCGACCCATAATTTTTCAATGACCTTAATAAAATATTTAAAAAAATACATTTTAAATTCTTGATTTCTGTAATATTTTTAGATACAAATTAAAGAAATCAAAAATTAATTTTTAATTATATTTTTGGTCAATTTTGTAAAATATTTTTTATTATATTTTTTTTTTTCAAATATGATTTCATGATATTTATAATTTAATAATATATATAATTTAAGCTTAAATATTTATTTTATTTAAAACAGGCTAAACTTGATTTGATATCAGCAAAACACAAATTCTAAATACGATATTAAAGCATTATTTATGTTTAAGAACCGCACGCGCTGTATATTTTTGTTAAACATATAAACAATTTTAATATTTATTTTAAGGCAGTTTTTGCACAGATAAATTTCACTTTTTAGCGCAAGAATTTTTTTTTATTTTGTATACAAAATCAATTTCTTTAAACACTTTTTTGTTTATAAACATCAAACGGAAATAACACAGTCATATATGTACGTGCATGGATGTATGTATGTATGCAAATATTTGCAAACTTATTTACGGTTATTTTAGTCTGTTGTTGCTTTCGATATTGTTGCTGTTATTGTTGTACGCGCGATCGCTGAGGTCTCGCGTCTGTTGACTTTTGTATGAAATTTCGGACTAAACGTTGCGTACAAATTTGGCTTAATTTATACCAAGGCACGCAGCTAACCAAACACAAAGAACAGAAATAGCGCGAGAGAGACAACAACATTCGAGAGCATAAGACAAACAGAAAAAGAAGAAGAGAGACAGAGAGAGAGAGAGGGAGAGGGAGAGCGTGCGTACGATCAAGAACTGGAACGCATGCAACGGCACGAACAGTGCCTTAAAAAGTGAATGTCTCTTGGCTGCGCTTGGACTACGAAGCGAACCTCCACAACCGAAACGAGCCCTTGACCAAGGCTTGAAGTTTATTTCGCTTTAAGAATTCACGGCGAATCGTCGACAGCGACGAGCAACGCGCGCCAAGCAACGTTCTCTGTGTGCCAATGAGAAGCGAGCAAAAGAATGGCGAAGAAGACTTTAGAACATTCGACTGGCAAATACCCTAATAGTTACTGATGAATGTATTTATAAAGAATTTTCGTTATTAAATTTTAGTAATAACTGAAAATATATGTTTAAATTTTTAAGAAATAAAAATTAAAATCTTTTAAGAAAATTTACAAGTTACTTATATTAAACTTAACAGAGCAGCTAAATTTGTCTACATATAAAAAAATAAAATAAAACATATATAAATTTTAGGCAATATACCCATCTTCAGAATAATACAGAGTATAACAAAAGACCAGCTTTTACGCCCTCGGCTCAGACCAACTGTTTTATTGTTGTTTTGTATCGCACAGATTGGGATCACAAATCGCGGATTCTTCACATTTTATTCTTGTCACACCACACACATACTAATATGTATGCATGTGTGCAAATGTAAGTATGCATACATGTAAGCTGTGCCCAACCGGATTCACAGTTTAACTGCACATTTTACTGTGCTTTATTATGTACCGGTTCGGCTGTGCATTGCCTTAAGTGCGAAAAGCATTTTAATTCATAAAATTAATTACGTTTTTGGTTTTATTTGTCATTTTTGGTGGGGAATTTTTACAAGTTGTTGCAGCAACATTCTTGTGGTTGCAGATGATTCCAAAATAAACGTGCTTCAAGGTCGGAATTCAATTGATCGAACTGAATCATCCTGATTTAATTACATTTCTCAGCTTCTAACTTTATCTGCACTCTCGCTCTCTCTCCCTCTCTCTCTCTCTCTCTCGCTATCGCTCTCTTTTCTTTATATTTTCTTCTCTTATACAAAATCGCACTTTATCAGTGAGATGAGCAAAATTTGTTATAAATCTTGTGTATAAATATAGCAACATTTCCATAGCTGACTGCTTCGAACGCCCACGTCTACATAGTCATGAGCATCACATGCTCTTGACCCTGACACTGTTCGTATAAATTATATATATTTAGTAAGGATATTTAAAAACAAACATAAATGTAACAATGTTTTTTATTTAAGACGTTACACTTAAGCTGCCCTCTACAGGGAAAGACATTAGTAGTTTTTATCGCCATCTATTGCGATATTAGGTAACATTATAGCTTCACATTCGATACTATTGTATGCATTATAATATCGACTGCTGCTAACTAAGTTATCGATATTGCCGTTGAGCATGAGGCGCTAAATTTTAAATTCAATAATTCAAGAAAGAATCAGAGAGCTAAAATTATATTTATATAAAAATAACCAATTTTATTTACTTCTCACTCTTCCAGTTTAGCTTCTTTTATATATTAAGTCAACACATGAAAAAATAACTGTTATATTTGATATCTTAAACAATATATCGTTATGCTAAAGCAACCCTGCGTTGTCCTGGCAACAGTTTTGTTTTGATTTTGTGTTTTGCCTTTTTTTAGATTTCATTTGTTTATAAAGCACAAGGAAAGGGTTCAAGATGTTTCGTCGCGGCAAGTTTTCCTTTCTCACCAGCAAAGATGATCGCATTAAAATCATCAATGAACGCATAAATTTGACAGAACGTCACTTAATGGAAATGTGTTCAGCCTTTTCGATGTTAACACGTAAAATGGCCAAGTAAGAAATTCGATTATCTATATGCATATTTATTTATTTACAAATATATGCTAGATATCGAGATGCCCATGATGAACTGGCCAAACATATAAAGAACTATGCGGACGAAGAGGAAATCAATGAGAGTTTGTGCAATGGACTCAAGAGCTTTACCAATGCGTTGACCATAACGGGAGATTATATGGATATAAATGTGAAGAGGCTGGAGCTAAAGGTGGGCAGTAAAATAAGTGAAAGGGGAACACAGATTAATCTCCTTATACCTTAGATAGTCAACGAGCTGGCGCACTTTGAGCAGCTGTGCAAGTCTACGAGGGATAATCTGCGCCTTGCTGTCATTGCAAGAGACAAGGAGGTGCTTAGCCAACGTCAAATGCTGGAGTTGAAGTCAAAATTTGCAGCAAACAATGTACGGTAGCAAACTATTTAAGTTACCTTCAATAACTCTGCTACTATCCCTTAGACCGCAGCAGATTCGGAGCTCTTCAAGACGAAATTGGAGGTTCAGCGCACTAACAAGGACATCGATGAGATCATTAGTGGCTTTGAGCAGCGCAAACTGCGCGATGTGAAGCAAGTATTAAGCGACTTCATACTGATTGCCATGAAGCAGCATACGAAGGCGCTGGAAGTGCTCAGCGCCAGCTACTATGACGTGTGCAACATCGATGAGCGAGATGATTTCCTGCAATTTCAAAAGCTGATGAAGACGAAAGAGGAACCCGCTGCCACTCGCAAGTCTACGCTGAAGAAGGGCTTGCGCTCCCAATCTATGGAAAGCTTAGACCATAATCATCTAAGTCCGCTCAAGCGACAGCAAAAGCTATCGAAGAGTACAAAGAATTTGACTGGAGCCGGCATATCGCGTGCTAACAAGCAGGAGCAGAGCGAGGAGGATGACAGCGAGCTAGATGAGGAGGACGACGAAGAAGAGGAGGAAGAGGTGAGCTTTACTCAATAAGCAACAAAGCTAACTAATATATTCCCAATCTAGGATAGCGAACAAAGCGCTGAAGAGGAAGATGAGGAGGAAGCCTCTGGCAGTGTTTCGGACGACGAAGGCGAACAGGGAATGCCGCTCGAGAATGTCTTTGGCGCCAAGGCTAGAAGCAAGGAGTCAGCAAGCTCAACAACAGCATTGAAGCCAGTGGTGCGGCAACCAGTCAAACATCCTTTTAAGGCCGTGGCAGCCACGCATGTAAGATTGCAAAAGCAATTCCATGTGCCACACAACTAGAAACCTAGAATTTCGAAACTAGAACTCATTTGCATAGCTCGCCCTCGCTTGACGACCACACGCTACGCCTCTCATTATTTATCCCAAATAAACAATAATAATCAAACGAGGGCAGCCAGAAATGTTATCTTCGGATAGCCGAAGTTTAAATACCCTTGCAGACGAGTTCAATATGGAAACTGTTTCAAAAACGACATTAATACTGGATTTTGATTGTATGTTAAAAGTCAAATATTTTGTAAAGTATACGAAAAGATTTTAAATGTTGTACAGAAGGTATACAAATATAGCCGATCTCAGCTAGAGTACTTATATGTAATACTATAGATCTTTACATCTTGGTAAACAAATATATGAAGTAGATAAAAAATTCATAACATTTTATATGAAGGTATTCAACGGATAGTTCCTATTGGCAGCTAATTGATATGCAGTTCCCTAGATCTAAGACTATCTATCAAGAATTAAGTTATCATCCTATATGTTCCGATCTTTTGTTACAAATGTTATAAAATAGTTGAACTATCCTTCTGCAAGGCTATAGCAATAATATTGATATACGTCTAATCAGGTGAAGCCTCCTGCACCTTATTCTCCTTCCGCTCACCTCCCTCGAATTTTTATCCGTTGCAGGTGGCATTCCGCAAACAGCGCACAGAACGAGACGCTGGCATAGCAACTGAAGGGGCAGCTGGTGGACGTCGCATGGTGACGCTTGTTGAATCGAAACGTGCTTAAAATCTAAACAGTTTGACATGCATTGATGGAGCTTTTGTTTTGGTGTGTACAATTCTTGATTTTTAATTACAATAAAAAAAACGTGTATAGGCAAAAATTTCAAATCATTGCCTTACAATGAATCTTTTCAAAATGCACCTAACTTAAATTTTGACATAAACTTAAAACTATGCAAAAAATATGAAATGAGCAAAATGTGGCTTGGATAAAGTTTGGGAGCAATTGCATGGGTTGTGAATGAATGTGAGTTTTTGGAATTGTTACAAAAGTGTGGGCGTGTGTGTATGGGTATAGGTGTGTGTAGATGTTCGATGTATTTATGATTGTGGTGCTGCATGCCTTGATTGTGGGCGTGGCACTGGGCACTGATATCTTGTTTCACTCATTTCTCTGGTGCCGTTCCCTCGACACCCGCCTGATTCATCAGATCCGCAATGCTCTTTTCAAGATCATCAATCCGGTTGCCCATGTCATCGATACGTGTGATTATCTGATCGGACATCGTTTGAAATTTGTCCTGCACATTCTGCAAGAGATTTTGTACCTAATAGATAAGAGGTACACAGCAAGAGAGAGAGAGAGAGAGAGAGGAGAGGGAGAGATAAAGAGTGGGAGTGGGCAGTTGGGTCGTTTTGTTGTATTTACTGTTAAGTGTCTCTCATTTCTTTCGCATTACTCACATAAATTGTTAGCTCCTGCATATTCTTTGGATCCGCATTGCTGTTTAGCGAGTAGTTCTGATCCAGATCACTGTCCATCTCATTGCGCAAATCAGTCATCTTTTGGCTTTGTTATTATTTAAAAAAGTACAAAAAGGTTTACGTTCTCGCTTTTTGTTGTCCGTTTTTTCCTTTTTCCTGCTTCTGTTTGCGTCGGCGGCTGCAGCTGTATAGAAAAACTAATAGCTATTTGTCAGGGCACAGCTGTAGGGCGATTGTAGTTCTTTAGAGACAACACCATTCTGTGTATCGATAGTGCAATCGATGGTTCTTGCAGCTGCTGCAGAATTTATATTTCAATAACATATATATATATATTATATATTATATTACGACACTTGTTTTCCTTATATAATTTTTGTTGCCTCATACATTACGTTTATAATTAGTTATTAGTAATTAGTTAGCAATTTACAATTTAGCCGATACGATATTGGAATTGACGGTAAAGTTAACAGACTTGCCTCAACTGTTAAGTCAACACAGCAGTGTGACCATAGATGCGCATTGAAACAGTATTTCGATAGTTAACTGTTTATTGTTTAAAACTTAAAGTGAAAGATTTATAAATTTGAATAGAAAAAATTTAAGTAATAAGCTAAGTAAGCAACATTACTCTAATGCTAACAAATGCACATTCTTAAAATAAAATATCGTAAATATTGCCTAGATTGTTTTTCTCGGTTGAACAGCTGATAAATGTTATGTTTTCAATCCCAAGTCAAACAATAACTATCACTTTCTCGCTCTGACACGCACTCATAACTGGTCAAACTCGTTTTACGTACTTTGTTTTGCTACTGCAGCAGCTGCGGGGACTGGGAGAGCGAAGTTGAGCTCAATGTGGGCCTACCACAAAAGAATCAGCACTTAAGCGTTGAATGAGAAAACCAATGCGTCGTATAAGGAAAACAACAACAACATTGAATGCACTGAAAAAGACACCCCCTGCAAAGGCAACGAACACAAATTCTTAAAAAGACCAGTGGCGTTGTCCATTACCCTCTGAGAGGGGTCGTAAACAGCTGATAAGCAGATTAGGCGCGTCACTGTCAAGCAAAAGAGAGAAAGAGAGAGAGCGAGAGAGGGCTAAGCAGCGCGCCAGAGAGCGCAAGCAAGTGAGATAATGGGCAGCAACAAGCAGAATATAATTTACAGTATTTCGTTGATGAAAACAGTCTGTGCCATGTTAACGGTCGTTGAGGATCGTTCCTCGCCTATTGAACGCAATTAAAAAATATAACGAATATATACAAAAGGCGATTAGTATAAGTGAAGCGCTGAAATTCGAGTAAATAGTTCGTTATAAGAATTATGTATTAAAAATAATGCAATTTGTGTGTGCGGGTGTTAATGTCCAATAAGAGCCACGGTCTGTGTGCATGTGCATACATATATATGTGTGTGGCTTTGCGTATCTGTGTGTATGTGTTGGTGTCATATCAGTAGCGATTGTGTTACAACAACAACAACAACAACGAGAACGATGTTACTCTAATCAGTAACTTTTGACCAATCAATCGAAAATAATATTTTGTGGTTTACATTGACGTTCAGTGCAACACTTTTTAAAACCAGCGATAAGCCGCAAAAGAGACGTTCGTTCTAATAAGAACTAGTTTGCGCTTATGTGTGTGTGAGTTTGTTTCGTGTGTGTGTGTGTTGCGGTAGCGTTGCCAATTGAATTATAGACTATCTGAATAGGCCGAAAAAGAAGCAGGAAGACTCTCCAACACAAACGCACACACGACTACTCTTATACATATATAAATTAATATATGTATGTGGTAATCAGATGGATTTATGGCGCTCTGCAGTACGAATAAAACGAGAACGAAAGTGTGTGTAAAGCGTAACAAAATATAAGTTAAAATACAGATCCAACAATTAACAGTAATTAAAACTAAGACGAAAAGCGCGGCAACAAGAAAGAATAAAAAACAAGTAATAAAAAAAATATATATATATGTACAAATGTGTGCCCCTGTTAACAAAGGCAGACGACGCGCAAAATAAAATACTTACTATATATACTATATATATGTATGTACATATAAATGCATACACAAACAAACACACTCACACAAATAAATATACACTTGCCTGCCTCAAATGCATTTGCATGGGCTAAGCGTAGAGCTTGTTTGTTTACAAAGAGCATCAATGAGCAACAAATTTAGAGAGAGAGCAAAGGAGAGCGAAGGAGACCTAAGTAGACTTTGCACTAATTAGACTTTGTAACTTTATAAGATCGAAGTTAAGTAGATGCTTTAAGAGCGAACTTTACATTCAATGCAGCAAGAGTTGGCAAGAGTCTGCCGACACGTGTAAGACAAAGCATCATCAATAATAATAATAATAACAACAACAACGGCAGCTGTCAGTGAAATCGAAAAGTTTTCATACACAATAACAACAATTAACAGTTTGTGCCCTCTATGTGTGCTATTTTCTGCTCTCATGCTTTGTGGCAAGTTCTGATTAGCAACAGTGCATCAGGGCCCGCCCGCTCCCGCTTCCAATCAGCTAAAAAGCTAATGAACTCTCACACACCCACACACGCACACGCACACACACAGACACACACACAACTTTTGAGAGCGTGTCGCTCATTTCGTTTTCTTTATATGTAAAACGAAAGAAAAAAATAAGCCATACAAAAACAAATAAACAGAAAGAACTCATCAACGCGTTTAGCAAACATTTGAGTTTTTTTTATTAGTATTTTTTCGGCCTAACATTTTATATATATGCAAATTTTTTTCTCTCTATGCCGCGCCTCTATAGGCACAACCGCCAAGCGAGAAAGGGACAGATAAAGCACGAGGGCATAGAAACGACTGCTCGGGGAATTAGAATATATTTATGCACAATTTTTGACACGCTTTCGACTCGGGGTGTGCTGAAGACAAAGCAAATAAGCAAGTAATATTTTAAGTAAAAAGTCATTTGATGAACAAAGCGAACGGATCAAAGGTCAAGGAACAAAATCAACAACAAACACAATAACAACATGTCCAGCTGGAGCTTGGCCAGTGCCGTTTCGCCAACGGTCACGGGCGCCGCTGCCGGTGACGTCATCGGGCTAAACAATCTCAAAGCCGCCTCCGACAGAGACATTGCAACAGCGACTGATAGCAAACAGCAAAAGGTAGCCCGTCCAACCACACCTGTGCCCGTCAAGAAGTTAACCTCGAAGCGGCCGCCACATTTAACATTGCACATTCAACCGCCGCCGCCGCCAACAACAACGACAACAACAACAAGAACAAGAGAAGCTCACGAAGCGCCTCTGGCAGAGGCGGAAAACATCGCGCTCTCCTGCAGCTCCTCCATCTTTGGCACACCCCTTGGCTCTGCCGCAGCACTCGGCGGCATTGCCACACCGGAGAGCCACAATACAAGCAGCTCCACCAGCCACAGCAGCAACAGCACCGCTGGCTCCATTTTCCCCCACGAGCAATATAAGACAATCAAGAAAATTGACATACAATTCGATAATGTGCAGCATAGTGCAAAATTTGGATTCTTCAAGAGAGGTGAGTGGGAAGTATATAGAACTATATAGACTTCGATCAACTATACTAACTTGTCATACATTATTAATCTTAAGATATAAAACATTCTATAGAAAGTTCAACATGAATGTGTTTAGCGTTAGCTATGAAACACCCTGTGTTTCGTGCAATATGCACATATGGTTGAAACTCATGAAACGCCCTGTGCGTAATTTTGCAACTAGTAAAAAGATATTGACTAAGTTATGCCACCCTGTGACATATTTAAACTGATTTCCTTAATCGTGCGCTAAGAAACACCCTGTGCAGCATGCTATGTTTGAATGTCTAGCTAAAACAAGCTAAGTATGAAGCGTATTCTACTCAATTCCGCTAGTAATAAAAATATATTACGTGAATTGAATCGCCCTGTGGCATATTTAGTATACATTTTTTAGCTTATGCTCTGAAAATACTGTTACAATATATATCAGTTAATCCTTAGCTGTTTATTTCATATGTGGAACACCCTGTGCTCAATTTTAATAAGTAACATGCCTACTTGTTCGATATTTAATTGAAATTCTTCAAGTTTTAAACACCCTGTACTCAACTGCATTCGCAATGTTAACTAACTACACACCATGTGTTGATATGCAGTACAATTTTCAACTTGAATAAAGTAATGGAAGTAATTAGAACGCACATGAAACTCCCTGTTATCAAATTTGTATGTGTATTGAGGTTAAGTTGAATTCTAATAATAAATATTTAACTTTCCTATTGATACCAGAAATCATTTAAATGAAATGAACAAATATGTTCCACGACAGATCAATCAGAACTAATCTCAAGTATTATGCATATATATTATATTAATACTAAAATCTGAATAGTTTATTATAGTCATTCGATTTCCAGCCATTGCAAATTTGTAGTTCATTAAACGTCTATTAAGCTTTGGACTATTTTGTTAGCACTCTATTGTGTTTTATCTGAGTTCAAGCTATCATTATGTTTTGCTTGTTGCTATTCAAAGTGTCCGCTTCCAGTCACGCCTTGATGCGTGTTTCGATAACCAAAACAGCAGATAGACATTTCGTTGTTATCTAGTTAAAAAGCATATTTATTATTCTATGTATTCGCCTTTTGTTTTTGTTTGAAAAAATTACTAAAGCTGAAGAACAGAGCTATAGCTAGCTCACCCTGTTTAGCCGTTAACCCTGTGAAATTTGTGAATTTGGAGTTAAGTATCTTTCACCCTGAAACCATTTGCTCGGTCTTTAAACGTTTAACCATAAAATTGCACTTAGATTGCATAGCAACACCCTGTGTTCATTTATTTGAAATTGTATACATTTTGAATTATATTTTTCCAATATATTTCGCTTCAAGTTAATTATGGTTGCTATTTGGTTCTCGTTCGCTTGAGTGCATTTATAGCATAATATAAATCCACGCAACACCCTGTGGGCAGGGTTCAATGTTCAATGCTATTTAAAAATAATTTTCTTATCTATATACCAACATTCTTTTCAGTTCATTGAATTTGTTAATATTCCATTTATAACAAAGATTAATGCGAAGCTTTGTTACCTTGAAACGCCCTGTGATTGTGATATTTTGCGGTTAAAATAGCATTTGCCCCTTTTTTAATTCCAAATTCAACGGTTCCGAGCTAGTTAAATACTCAGATAATACCTATCTAATTATTGTACAGTTCTGGACTATAAACCCTTTGTTTTTCAATCAGATTTCATATTTTTTCTCTGGAAAACACACTTGATTTCTGCAATCAGTGCCAGCTCAATTTATATTATATTAGTCTGGCTGCTACAGCTCAATTAGCTATAACCGATAAACTCAAATACGCATTGATACACCTGCTAATATTTGTACTACCTATTAGCTAGTTTTTGGGCTCAAGTATCTGGTTGGGTACTTGGGAAGAGAGTGTGTTTGGGGCTTATCTAAAATCAAATCTTAAATGCTGATAGTATTGAGAGAGGGAAAACTCGGAAAACTATTGGAAACACGATCTAGACAATATTACTAATTGAGCAAATCAATGCTAGGGTCAGGTGTAAAGGTCAACGGTAAATTTGTATTTATAAATAGTTAAATAAACTAAAAATATAAATATAAATATATCGTATATATGGCTATATATAGAGAGGACTTATCACAACAATAGTTATATGATCATTTGACGCGGGTCGTGCGGGTCGTAATTTACAGTTTTTATGAGTTTTTGACGAAAGCGATTTGAATATTTACATAACAATTCAAGTTACATATCGCCGTGTGTGTGTTTACCAATATATGCAACTCATATATTACAAATATTGCAAACCGATAAGATTTCTGGGTTACAATAACAGCGCACCATATAGATATGAATATATATATACAAATATAAATTTGTAAGCACTGTAATAAATGTTTCCGTCTTTTATCAAGAGACTCTAAGCACATGTAGTCTGCCCTATACGAATATATATCTCAATTGTTAACCCAATTTGTAACATGGGAAAACACATTGGATTCATTTAACTCTTAGTTATATTATAGAAAATAGTTGATTATATATATATATATATATATATATATATATATATATATATATATATATATATATATATACAAGGCTATACCAACTATATATGTACTAAGCGCCAAAGGTGGCCAATTCCCATAGCTGCATAACTCAAAGCTCAGTTCATTACGACATAGAATGAACTCACAACAAAAAAAATCAGACACATTTATCTAATTACTTATCTAATAAAATGTCTGGTACACTACAATTAAATATAAATCATAAAGCATGGTAAATGCTTAACATACATGAACAGCAAAAAAACGAAAACTGATAAATAGTTAAATAGGTACAACTGATTAGTGATAAAAATATAATACAGATATATCTGATATCTACCTTGCTGCAAGTGCAAGCAAACTAACAAAGTTTGTTTTATATATCATGCATCGAACTCAATGTATACAAAATACAAGAAGTAAACGTGCTAATGACGGGAGGGTACGACTAGGAAATACCCTGAATGCATGCACACATACATACACACACATACACACGCGCTCCGCTTACGATTCAGCATACGCAGCGTCTACGCTCGGCCATGGGCTTTTCTATGGGAAATTAATTGTTGAATAACTGTTGCTCCAATTGGACTTCCTTAATCAAATCAGAGCGCGATGATCGCGTCTTTATGTTGCTTTGTGTCAATGCGCAAGTTTCTAGTATTTGAATTGAGTTGCAGTGCGCCTTAGAGGAATCCACACAGTCGATTGAAATTTAAAATCTCCCGATTTGATGGTATTTTCAAAACCATATTAACAACAAGGAAATTGGACTAGTTATTAAAAAATTAAAGGAGTTCTTCAGTTACAGATGATCAAACTTAAAAAGTAGTAATTATTTTTTAACTTTAATAATAATATCATCAATGGAAAAATGCATCGAATGTAACTTTCAATAGTATTGCTCAGTGCGAATCAAAAATTATAGTTGAATCAAAAATCTGGCAAAGAATACCCGAGCTAGAGACGCTAAGTTCAAGTAGTTTTTTTTTTTGAATACATATCTAAAAGCTCATCGACCTTATCCAGAATGTGCGTATATACTTTATGGGCACTGCCACGCCTCCTTCTGCCTATTTATATAAATTTTCGCAAAGCTCATGGCTTAAATTATATATAAGTATATAATTTTCTAGCATTAATGCCATTCCACTTTTTTAATGTATATTCCACGATCATAATAGCTTCTGGTTAGGCAACAAATCTTGAACAATATATGTAGAAAGGTCGCCAGCGTTTTAATTGATATCACTTAAGCTCCATTAAATATTATGCATGCTTTTTTTTCATTCATTTGATTTTTCTTTGTTATTGTTGCCGCATCATCTTGAGTGAGTTTTCCTGTTATAGTCTTCCTAATGGGCCATTTGACAGCTTCAGTTTCGCACTTAAAAAACATCAAAATATATAAGCTGGCCTTTGGCATTAGTCACATTGTGTGTGTGTTTCCCTCTTGTTTTTATCGCGTGCGCTGCGTTGCGTTGCGTTTTAATTTTAATAACCGAACCTGAATTGTTCTACGGATATTGTTGACAGCTTATGCGTGTCATAAGATCAAAGAAAGAGAGAATGAACATTAAAATGGAACCAGGAAAACTGCTGTTTAGGTTCAAAAATAGGTCTTATTAATGGCATTAAAGTTGAGTATATAAAACTAATAATATACCAGATCACAAGTCACAATATGCCTATTTAACAAGTTATATACTTGCAATTTGAGATGAATATATAATATATATATAGTTTATTATATATAAGCTAATATATTCATCAAACTAATTTGATATGCTGCACGCTTTTATATAATGCAGAGCATTGTATGTAATTGGCCAAACACACAAAGCGTGGACGCGCTTTTGCTCTCTTTACAAAAGCTGCAATCATAAAATTCTCAAATGGTTACAGCTCAGCAAGTGTATCAAAGCAAAGACGAGCCAGCAATGGATAGCAACGTTCGCGGTTTATAAAGCCGGAAGATTCTTGAATTAGCTATAAATACGACCTGCTTACATTTATTGTGTGTTAAACCATGTTAAATTGTTGATAAATAATTAAATAAATGATCAACAAAAGTATAAAAGTTGTAAACTAATGTTTAGAGATCATAAATCATAAACAGCTAAAGACCCAGAAACTAATTATAAAATATAAGTTTTTGAATGCAGATATAAATAAATAAAATACAAAAATGCTTAGCCAATATTAACACTTTTTACGTCAGCTCTATAAGTATAGAACATTCTAAGAACTTAGTTAAAATTCCTATGTATCAAGCTCATATACACTAAATAAAGTATACGCAACGTAAACTTTTATGAGTTCATAAACCGTTTTTCAAATATATTCAAAATTGCAGCAAATTTGTAATCTCAAGAGCTCAAGCATAGATTGTATATCAGCTTATAAATGGTGTATATAGCGATATATAGCTATTTGTAACGTTTTCAATGTTCCTAATACTAATTAATAAGACATGCCTATGTAGTTACCAAGCCTTATGTATAGCGATAAGCGGGCTCAGGGCTTATTTTGAATGAGTTTCACTAATCTTCATTGTTGGGATCAGCAGTAGATTAGCTCTTTATATATGTGTATGCCCATATAGTATTTGAGCGAGTGCAAGTTTAGACTAGAAAAATGATATCAGATGACAGGCGCGCTGTAATCGTCTACCGGGCGATACTTCTCATATATAGCCATTGCAAATGCAATGTCAGGCTCAAGGCCATGTCAGCCCTTGGCACTTGTCTTCCTGCTCTAGCGTTTATTGTACTACAATCAACAGGTGTGCTGGCAAAGACCTTTTTTGCGACAACATCTGGAGTGAAAAAAGTCAACCATCTGGTTCGGAGCTGCTCGTAAAACCGCGTATCGCGATAAGATTTGATTTGAGTCACAAACCAAAACCACTTATGATAAGGCGCTACGAGTGCGAGTCTCTGGCCGATTTGCAATTGCTCACATAACTAAGTTAATCGATAGATTATCTTCGATACAACTAAGTCTATAATGTCGTCTATAATGTGCAATAAAAAGAATAACCGAAGAAAAAACTTACACAAAGTGAAACCTCCAAATGCCACTAACAACATAGTGAAAAAAAAAAAAATAGTTTTTATGGCATTGTCATTGCAATAAGAGATTAGCACTCGTGGAACTCAGCTAATGGGCCTCCTCTTATCAGCTGCCAATTGTGACTGAGCACAGTAGCTATATTATTCTCCAATATCTCTCTCACACACACACTCTTAGGCCTAATTATGTGTAAAAACAATGAATATTCGTCGAATAGCTATTAATTGAGTTACGTCTGAGTATTTGACATATCTTGAATATTTAATGTACTTTGTACAGCCGATGCCTATTGAAAATGTACTGGGCTCTATAATAGATACGATCGCATGTCGGGAGTAAGCTGAAAAGGGCAGCCATAATAGCCTATATATATATTTATTGATTGGGGAAATAAGCCTCATCGATAAATGGCATTTCCATACCTAAATGTTAGGGACTATTATATCTTTAACTGGGCATCAAGTTTCCTTGCTTTATGGTACATTGGTACTTGCATCTAAAATGATTTCTCTCATAGTTTATATCTCGATCGTAGCCTATAGTGTGAAATTAAGTTTTCCACTTGAATAAAAATGCAATTAAAATCAATAAATATCGATTCCCAAGCTCTATTTATCGCCATAAACGAAGCAGTGCGGAAGCCAGATGCCTAGACATATAGATTTCAGAATGGCTTCAGAAAAATGAAAATAAAAAATACTTTATTATATTATAGGCATTATATTATTATTAAAATTATACTATATTATTATAATATTTTTATTATATTTTAAAAAATATTAATAAATATTTTTCTTATCTATTTTAAAGAGCTTTTAGTATTATGTATCTATACAGAAGGAAAATCTATCTTTATCTACCAAAGATATATATAAATGCATTTAATTAGACTCTCTTTCCATTTAGTTCTAAAATAAAAAATACTTTATTATATTATAGGCATTATATTATTATTAAAATTATACTATATTATTATAATATTTTTATTATATTTTAAAAAATATTATTAAATACTTTTCTTATCTATTTTAAAGAGCTTTTAGTATTATGTATCTATATAGAAGTAAAATCTACCTTTATCTACCAAAGATATATATATAAATGCATTTAATTAGACTCTCTTTCTATTTAGTTCTAAGATGTATTATCTCTTAGACTGTCCTCTCAGAAGTTTTTAATTATACAGCTTATATCTCTTATATTTTAAAAATTTATATATTGATTAACTTTCTCTTAATTGCATTGCAGAAAACAAAGACATACTGAAGGGTTTGTCGGGCTACTTTCGTTCCGGCGAACTGAATGCCATTGCTGGGCCCTCGGGAGCGGGCAAGAGCACGCTGCTAAACATACTCTCCGGCTATACGTAATGTAACCTTGCACTTTGAACGTAGTTCTGTTATTAACTTATCTATATTGGTTTACAATGCCTGCAGTTACACTGGCTATACGGGCGATTTTCGCATCAATGGCAAGCGGCGCGATTTGAAGGCTTTCAAGCCGAATGTCGCTTTCATTACGCAGGACACGTCGCTGCAGTCCTTCCTGAGTGTGAAGGAGGCCATGCATTTTGCTGCGAATCTAAAGATCGGCACACACATGTCGCCGGCAGCTAAGAAAGAGCGTGTGCTCAGCATCCTCGTGGCCATTGGCATGTACGAGAGTCGAAACACGCACACGGGCAGCCTAAGTGGCGGACAACGCAAACGCCTGGCCATTGCCCTGGAGCTGGTCAACAATCCGCCGGTGCTAGTGCTGGATGAGCCCACCTCGTATGTAGTGAGATTTACCAATTAATAGAAACTTAATTGACAATTTCTTATCTCTCTCGCTTAGTGGTCTGGATAGCTCGACGTGCAATCAGCTGATAACGCTGCTCAAGAAGTTGGCCGTGGAAGGTCGCAATGTCATCTTCACTATTCATCAGCCCAGCGCCCTAACCTTCTCCATGTTCGATCATCTCTATGCCATTGCCGAGGGTCAGTGCATTTATGCAGGCGGCGCACAGAATCTGGTGCCCTTTTTGAGCGCTGTCAATCTGCACTGTCCGGAGTCATACAATCCTGTGGATTATTGTAAGTTTGCGGAAGTTTTAATGTGGGGAAAAGGAACTTTGGGCTAAGGTGTAGCTGGTTCGAGGCATATAGTCCATATTTACTATAGATTATAGACTATATGCCTAGAACCAAGTCCTTAACTTTTCAAGCCTGAACTCACACATTAATTTGGCCAAAGAATAGTCTCTTGAATTTTTGAAATTCCTTCTGCAAAAACTCGATCTTAACATACTCTTCTTTATAATCTCTTTCTTTTCCAAAGTAATGGAAATAGCTACGCACGACTATGATGCGGATGGCGAGCAGCAGGTGGACAGGCTGATATCACTCATGGATAATGGACGCAACGATGATTATAGACAAAGCAAAACAGCGCGCGTGGCGCAGTTGGCGACCATGCGTAAAGTTGGTAAGCTATCAAAACCGAATATAAATCTTAAAGAAATCTTTTTTAATATCCAATTGTTTTGCTGCAGAGCAAATGATGTCCTCTGGCATACTGACGCCTGTCACAGCACCCATTATGAATTCTGGCACCGCCTACAATCGGCAGTCATTCAACTTTAAGCCTATGACGACCATCAATGAGCTGTCGTCACGCGTCTGGGAGAGTCAAACTATCAATGAGGATGTAGCTAGCAGCAAAAGCGATGCTAACTGCTGTAAACCGAAGAAAAAGAAACCGAAGCCGACCATGTCGATGCCCACATTGGAGCTAGATCCGGCCCAACTATGCAAGCGAGAGAATATCTATGCCACGCCTTTCTATCGACAGCTGAACATACTGCTGCTGCGCACCTTTCTGCTCATCTGGCGCGACAGTTCGTTGACCACGATGCGTTTCGCCATACACTTGATGATCGGACTTCTAATTGGCTTTCTGTACTATGGCATTGGCAACGATGCCAATAATTCTATGAACAATTTTCGTTATGTCTTCTATACCATTATGTTCATCATGTATTGCGCTTTCTCTGGCATTCTGGTCAAGTGTAAGTTGTCAATTTATATCTGTATAAAAACTGTTCTAACTTTAATTTATATAATTTGCAGTTCCTCTGGAATTTCCGATTGTTTCGCGTGAGCATTTCAATCGTTGGTACTCGCTGCGTGCCTATTATGTGGCCATCACGCTAGCCGATCTGCCCATACAGATCATCTGCAGTTCCCTGTTTATAGTGCCCACTTATCTGATGACACGCCAGCCGCTGGAGCCGTGGCGCTTTGGCATGTTCTTCTTGATTGTGTTTATGACGGCGCTGGTGGCCCAGAGCATTGGACTGACCGTGGGCGCGGCTTTGAATTTGAATCTTGGCGCGATACTGGGACCATTTTTTATCTGTCCATTTCTGGCATTCAGCGGCTTCTTTCTGCAGGAGAAGGATGCGCCCGTTTATTTGCGCTGGTTCTTTGATGTCTCGTTTCTAAAATATAGTCTAGATGGTGCTATGCTCGCCCTATTTGGCTACGATAGACAGCGTTTGGAGTGCAACGAGATGTACTGTCATCTGTCGCGACCCAAGTTTATACTCAAGAATCTGGACATGGAGCATGCCAACTATCAGCTGGCCATATTTTTTATGCTCGGCCTGCTGATCATGCTGCGTATTTTAGCCTTCTATATTATGTCCTTCAGACTCAGATTGTTCAGATGATACGATAATGTGCTGAACTCACATTCCGTTCACAGTTGATAGAGTTTGTTTTACATATGTTTTTTATGTTTTACCAGATATATATTTCATATATATTTATATATGTATGCATGTATAGAGTTGAGCAACTGCGAGTATATTTATGATTTCTTTTAGCATTTAATTGAGTGAACCATGTGCCAAAGAATTGAACAGCGTTTAGCATAAGGAGAAATCGTGATATACATACTTATCTTATCTAATTGCAGCAAATAATATTTACCCAATACATAACACCAATTCACAATTCCATAACATTTATATATATGTATATATATATATATATATATATATATATATATATATATATATATATTTCTTATACATATATATTTCTTAGCTTAGCTCTTGTATTTTTTTACAATCGTATTAATGACCCCCAATCATCAACTATTGCTTAGTTTTAAGCGCATGTAAATACATATTTTTTATTAAGCTCAAAGTGTTTTTTCGGTAAACTTATTTTGTAATAAATATTAAATATTTTGTATTCATAGTTTTTGGAATTTTTCGGTTAACTTCGGAACCAGATGTGAAAAGGGAAAAGCTTTTGTAATGCACTAAAAATTTACTTGATGAACTGCTATTAAAAGTACGAAGTTTTTAGTGTCTAAATACTAGTTATAGAGTATTTTCTTAGCAATTTTATACAAAATTTTATAAATCAGAAAAGTTCTTAATTAATGTTCTACAAAGTTCAATTTAAGCTTAACCCACCGTAAAGCAAAATTTTATACAAATTTAGTAAATACATAAAAATTAAAACAATTTTCTCTTGTGTGGCTTAATATATGTGCAATATTTAAAAAAAAAAAAGCAATAAAATCTATTTGAAAAAATCAAATTAGTTTTTGAAATTTTTGTATAGAATGACATTGAATAAAATATTATAAAGAAACAATTTTAAAATAACTAAAAATATATATTTTATATATATATATAAAAATTTTTTTTGGTTATTTATGAAGATATAAATGTAATATTCAGCTAATAACAGAACAAAAATTTTATAAAATATATATTCAATGAAATTAAATTTTTAGAAATATAAATAAAAATTAATTTTTATTTTCAAATATTTTAATATTTTAATTGACTTAAGTTAAGAAAAAAATGCAAAAATATATATTTATTAAAAATGTTTGTTTTAAAATATAAATGAATTTATATTTTCCTAAAAATAAAAAAAAAATGTTTGTATACCATGAAACTACAATTTATTGTTTATATATTTGCCATATTAAACAAACAAGTATAATAAAAATTTAGCAATTAAAATACGAGATACAAACAAGTACATGTCAACTCAAGTCCGTTCAAAATAAAGTTTGCCCCACTGTAGTCCAGCCGGCATACCAGTTGGAAGAGAACTCAAACATGTTGAGGCTCGATTCATAGACTGATTAATATAAACAGAAGCCGGCAATAAAATGAAATAAAACCCAATTGAATTCAGTTGTGTTTTGTGTTTCAGTGGAAAGCGATCGCCGCTTGTGTCGAGAGATCGGTTACCATATCGAGTGAGGAAAGACGCGTGATGAAAATTTAATTGAAGTGAAACCACCAATTGTTATAAGAACAATCTCTATATGCTATATATGAATAAATGTATATATATATACGGACTCTATACGAATTACAAAGTTGTGTTCACCAACATTTGATTGGATTATAATAGTTGCGTAGTTAAAGGCTAAAAACTAGTTTTCTCTCCAATTGAAACGCCTTAAAATGCAATTGCAAGTGATTTTCCAGCTGATATACATATATACTTATATATACATATATACATATATACATATATATACTATATATGCAAATTGAAGCATATACGTAGTAACTGGAAACTGATAAGCCTCGTCAAGGAAAATTATTTCAACTGCATATTTGCTATTCGCAATCTCTAACAATTTTATATATTTACAAGGCAGCTCTATTAAATAATTTTACGCAGTTGCATTAGTTGAATTGCTGTTCTTGGGGAATTTATTTTGTTTTTTTTTTTATCAGTTTAAATTCATTAAAGCTCAATTATACTCATATTTCAAAGAAAACATTGCTTGATCGTAAAGATCGTTTTCTTTTATGCATACTTTTAGGCGTTGATTAATGCTTTCTTAAATAGTTGATGGAGCCTGAGACCAGCTTTAGCTATACTATCGTACACTTAAAGACCCAGAAGCCTAGTTCTAGTTTCACTATATATCACGTACCTTCGAAATCCATCAATATGATCAAGATCTTCTCTTTCTTGCATAGAATATATAAAGAATGATATAATAAAGAAGCGCACAGTTAGAGAGTATCTAATAGTCTATCATTTCTTATAGCTCTACTAAGTGCAACATATAATAATTTGTAATTGTTATCAGTTAGCTTATCGCATTGCATATGTAAACAAAATAAAATAAACTAACAGTGAGACTAGCTAGACTGACCATAGTCAAGTTATAAACACTTAAGAGAGAACACGTTTCTCAAAGCAATGTGAAAAATATTTACAAAAAAAAAGTGTTTAAACAATGAAAAGTACAAAATTGCAATAGATTCTTTTTCGTATCAGTTTTATTATCGAAAAATGTTTACATAGAGAATTTAACCCATTCATCACACCTGATGGCAAAGGTATCTAAAATTCTATTATACAAAATCTTAGCTAAGAAATTTAAAGTTAAGATCGTGATAAGTTGAGCTTTAGATGACTTAAACTGTCTGTCAGGCATCATCCAGTATCATATCAATACATATCATAAGTCCATCAATCATTCCCTTCCTTCCAGTTTTTGCTAATTTTGCATTTGCTTTAAATTTATATTTTGCCAGCTAAGAATTCGAACAAAGCCAATATAATCGATCGGTCAGATAAGATTGCAATAATTTTGGTTGTTCCCTTAGCTGAATTCGGATTAAGCAGTTGACTCGATTACAATGTTGATAGCAAATGCAGGCACTTGAACTCCACAATCAATGAAGAGTGCAAACCGATAGTCGCCTTTACCAGTTGCTCAGTCGAGCGTTGTCTTTCTTCCAAGCTAGACGCTTTCATATCAGAGCCGGTTAACAAATTTGATGATAATGGTCGATAATCCAGCAGCCGTCGTGCCAAATGGCTTGACCAAGCCACAGCCATTGGAACTGCTCTTCAGACAAGTCTGCTACAAGCTAAAAGGTTCAAAGCAGCCGAAGAATCAAATTCTAAATGAAACCTGTGGAGCGTTTCGAGCTGGCCGCCTGACAGCCATACTGGGACCCTCCGGAGCGGGCAAGTCAACGCTGCTCAATGTCTTGGCTGGCTTTAAGTGAGTATTTGTATGAAAAGTTTGCTCAGCTAACTGATTTGTTACTCTGCAGAGTCAGTGGCGTTTCGGGCCAGTTTCTGCTCAATGGACAGCCGAGGGATTTGCTTGCCTTTCGAAAAATGTCTTCGTATATAGCTCAGAACTTCGAGATGCTCTCGCTGCTCACGGTGCAGGAAACGTTGTGTGTTTCCGCAGATCTGAAGCTGCCCACGGGCACAACGGCACTGCAAAAGCAAATTATTGTAAGTAAATTGCATTTTGAGCGGGTTAGCACATTTATCGATATAAATCGATTAAGAAGATAGATAACATTACTGTATTGCTATGCTATGAAGTAACTTACAGAAATAGAAAAATAATTTTTTATTTTTAAATATCTATAAATAAACTATTAAGGAAATGCTAATAGTTTCGATAATTATCGATTTTTAGGTAAATAAAATCAATATGTACGATATATGTATACGTAGATACCAAGGTTATTATATACATCAATAAAAATTGCCAGAAATACGTTTAAAATGAAGTCCGTCTAAAATCGATATTTATCGAGTTGCAAAAAGGCGATAGATAATGTGGTTAGACAATGAAATTTTTTGAGATTACATAGATCTTGTGTAAAAGTATAATATCTTAAATTTTCTTTAAATATACTATTAAACCCGATTTGTATATAAATCGATACGAATAACTTATAATGCATTTATAAAACTAGAATCTTCATTCCTATACCCTTTACCTTTATTAGTAATAGCTGCTGTAGTATCCCAGATAGCCCTAGATCAAGCGGAATCGATCTCATCACAGATATATACAAATTATACTTACTGCTGTCTTTTGAATACTCATTAATTTCCGCAGCTGGATGACATTATCGAGGTGCTTAACTTGCATTCGTGTCGGCACACGCTGGTCCGGGACATTTCTGGAGGGGAACACAAGCGTCTGTCCATTGGCATTGAGCTGATCACCAATCCGCCGATTATGTTCTTTGATGAGCCCACCAGTGGACTGGATAGCGTGGCCACCTACCAGGTGATGGGCTATTTGCAGAAGTTGGCGCACAATGGCAGAATTGTGGTTTGTGTGGTGCACCAGCCCAGTTCGCGGCTGATGCAGCTCTTCGACGATGTCTTGGTGCTTGCACATGGCGAAGTACTTTTTGCGGGCGCACAACGTGAGATGCTGGAGAGTTTTCAAGCAGCTGGCTTTAGCTGTCCACAGTATTACAATCCCGGCGATTTCGGTGGGTAACCAAAGCAATTCTTACTTCAGATTCACTGATGCATATCTCTGACTCTTCCTCATTTAGTGCTCGAGGTGGGCAGCGAGTCATCCAATCAGCGCTGCGAGACTTTGATCGCACAAAACAAATCCAAGTATGATAGCCTACAGAGCTTTGATAGCGTTCCGGCGGATGAGCAGAGTAAGTTCGTTTTGCTTGTGCTTTGACTGGATGACGTTTTGCTGATCATCTTTACCCGCTTACCTGTTGCTTCTGTTCCATGGTCCTACTTGCATGTCACTCTTCATCATTTTTTGCACTGCTCTATCTGTTCCCTTCTCTTGTCTCCCTCAATTTGATTACAGCAGCTTTCATTGAGCTATCCAAGAGTGCGTCCGTGAATCAAGTGCTGCGGCCCAAGGAGCAGGTGGGCTTCTGGTATCAGCTGCGCATACTTATGCACAGACATTTGCGTGCCATGTCCAGGGATGCAGTGAGTAGCATGTCATAGATCTGTCTGTATATCTTTAAACTAAGCTAATCCTTTCCAGATTGCCGTGCAGATGCGTGTGATTATGCACGTTGTAGTTGGCCTGCTCTTGGGCGTGGTCTACTGGCAGATTGGCAACGATGCCAACAAGGTCATAAGCAACGTCTCCTGCATGTTCTTCATCATACTCTTCGTCTTCTCTGGCAATGCAATGCCCTCCATACTGCTCTGCATTCAGGATGCGCCCGTATTCATCAGGGAGTACTATAATGGCTGGTACTCTCTCAGAGCCTATTATGTATCCAAGGTGTTGGCCGATTTGCCTCTGCAGCTGCTGTGCCCGAGCTTATTTATAGGAATTGGTTACTTTATGACTGGACAGCCGCCGGAGCTGGCGAGGTTTGTCATGTGCTGGTGCATCTGCGTACTGACCGCCTTCATTGGACACTTTATAGGCGTCATTGGTGGCACCTTGCTATCCATGCAACTGGCCATATTCATCGTGCCCACCATGTCGATACCGTTTCTGCTCTTCTCTGGCTTCTTTATACGCATGCGTGAACTGTCCTGGTTTTTGCGTCCCATTTGTGATTTCTCCTTTTTCCGCTACATCTTCGAGGGACTCATGCGTTCCATTTACGGCTATCAGCGCGGCGATCTGCCCTGTCATGAGGATTTCTGCTATTACAAGTCATCCGAGCACTTTCTCAAAGACTTCGACATGTTGGGCGATATGGTTCATTCGGATATCCTGATATTGGGAATATTTCTACTCATCCTGTTGATCACCTTCAATGTATCACTGCATGTGTGCATCCGACGTGCGCTGTGAGATAGCTTAATTTGCATTAGAGTTAGTTTATCTAAAATATGAATTTCTGATGGAATAGCATAATAATTAATATATAGAGATATAAGTATACTCCAAGTGCGACTCCGAATAGTTATAATATATACAAACATATATACTAAACAATACAGATTGGAGATGGTCCCTTCTGCCTCTAATATACATTTGCATACAACACTAACATATTTTGAATAGGTTCAGGGCTCAAATGTTTGGATCAAGTAAAAACACATCAACTTCTGAACTCATCCATAAAGATTTTTAAAATGTAATTCACAACATAATCTATTTAATCAATGGACACGCTAGAAATTTCCATGGCGCTGCTATTATCATGTGCTGCCTGAGGCTCAGCGGTCGTTGACGCCGTCGTTGACTCCTCCAAAGTCTCCGTTTCTGTTGCAGTTGCTGAACTACCTCCGGGCGTCTCCTCGCTTATGGTGGGTATTGTTGTTGTCGTCGCTGGTGTTGTTGCTGTGCTATTTGCCGTGGGTCCCGTCAAAGTTCGCTGATTGGGTTGTGCGCGACGCACACGCTCCGGCACTGAACGCAATCGTCTCGCGCCTGCTGAGGTAGATGCACCTGTAGCTGAGTTGCCACTGGAGCTTGATGTTGCGGTTGCTGTCGACGTTGGTTTGCCTGCATCGGCTATGGAGGTAAATGGCACTCGGGCACGTACATCGAGTTGCTCCCACTCCATTTCGTCCTCGGAGCTGGTCTCTGCCGTTGCCACAACCGTTGTGGCGGATTTTTTCTTCTGGCATTCAGCGCTGCGTCGATAATCGATTGTCTTCAGCAAGGCCTTAGCTTCTGTCTTACGCTGCAATTTGGAGAGTATTAAAGAGCTGAAGTAAAGGCTATTTAGTTGACTTACATCATCTGAATCCAGACACTTGTAAGCATAGTATGCGGCACGCTCATAATCACACTTCTTCTCATAGTAGTTGGCCAGTGTCATAAAGCCCTGATAGAGGCTCTGTTTGTCGGTGGCTGCGCGTTCGTCCTCGCAGTACATAATATAACAATGAACGGCCGTCTCGTTGTCGCCCAGTTTCTCGTGCAGGCTGGCCAGCTTATACATGGCTATGCCCTCAATGTCGCCCACATCGCAGGCCTTCCAATAACATTTGACCGAATTTTCACATTTGTCCAGCTTCTCATATGTTTCGCCCAATGCGACGAGCATGCGTGAATCATATGGACGCAGTTGATGGGCAATTTTAAAATAATATAAGCTATAATAATGCATCTTAATGATCTCATAAGCCTGGCCCAAACCATACCAAGCGCGATAATCACGCTTGTTGACCTCTACCGCTTTGCGATAGCTCTGTATAGCTGCATTTGTGTTCTTCAGCTCCATAAATTCATGGCCCATCAACGTCCACGCGGCTAGATACTTTGGATTCAGCTTCAAGGCGCGCTGAAAATATGAAATTGCCACCTGATGATCACAGCGTATGCTATAATAGTTGCCTATACAGGAGTAGAGAATGGCTTATATAGGTATTTACTAATTTATGCATGGCATTACTTGCCTATGACACAACATGTCTCGGGTCGATATTTGTTTATGCTAACAGCTTTGTGCGCTAGTTGTGCCATTTCAGTTTTCATTTCCTTGACAAACAACAAATTTGAGTATGTATCCACATTGTCCAAGCGATAGGGATCACTCTCGAGCAGAGCCTGGAACAGCTCGATAGCTTTGTCCACATCTGAAAAATAAATATACTGATTAGAAACTGTAACCAGCAAGACTTTATCTACGAACCCCTTTTATTATGATAGACGTGCGCCATTTGTGCGGTTATATAGATGCTCTTGTTGAAGCCGGCAGCTTGAAGATCCTCATAGATCTTCAGTCCATCATCATTCAAATACAGCTCTAAATAAGTGTGTGCCATAAAGAAATGAGACATCCAATGACCGCCCAGCTGCATGCTCAACAACTTCTTCTTCTCCATTATGAGAGGCGATAGCTCCAGGTAGGCGCTCCATAGCATTGGCACCATGCGCACAGCGGTTAAAAGCATTTGCTCTGCTGCTTTATTAAGGTTTAGTGCTTTAAGAACAACTCCATAAAGATATATTCCATAGCCATCTAATCGGCCGCGTCCATGCGCCGCGCGTAACGTTGCCAAGAGATCGGCCAAGTCACGCATTTGATTTGGCTCATTGAGATTCGCTTGATCGGTGGTGGAGTCGAGACGTCGCTTTTCGCGTGCCATATACGTGCAGTACAGATGAAGGAAACGTGGCACGCTCGATTCACAGTTCCTGACAGCGTGCGCTGCTCGATCATATTCCCGCACATCGTAGTAGCTCTTGGCCAAGAAGTAATCGCCATACTCCGCTGGCGCAATGCCTTCCAGCTGGCACTCGCTAAACGAATGATCATCATCCGGTGGCTCATTGTCGATGTTTATATCACTCAAGCCATGGTGCATTTCTGCTAGCCATTTAGTGCTATGCAGCAAGCCGCGTTTCGAGCACTCGATGATGCCCCGACGCAACTCCCTCTTCACGTCCGGCATCAGCACTTTGAAGAACTCCTGCATAGTGTTCTATGTACGTTCCAGGCTGCAAGTGCGACTATTTTTAATAAAACTAACAAAATTTGCTTTTGAACGCGCTAAACAAGTGCATTTGCCGGTCGTGTCGATTAATACCATTTTCGATATATCCTAAATTTGAAGGTCGTAAGTATCGATACATTGCAATATATCTGCATCTAAGGGATATTTATTAAGCTGGTCAATAATTGCATTTTTTAATTTCAAAATTGAAATTTAAAATTAAACAATTATTAAAACTTTTACTTAACTACATATTGTACCGTAACATGTATTTAATTTGAATCCATAACACTGAACCATGTGACCATTCGCATAAAAAGTAACAAATACCAAAAATCTTGTATAACTGCAAAAACTCCATAACACTGGAAAAGCAGATGCGTAAAAAGAGAATAACAATAACAAATGTGTTCAATATCAAAGATAACGCTACGAAAACAACAACAAAATCGGATTTCTTTGTTTATGAAAGCGCACAAAAACAGCAGTGTTGCTGTCAATATCACACCATATTGAGATGCGGAAAGGAACCGCGCAAAATTATAGTTACAGTTACATTTACTGGTTTAAAGGTCAATTGAATTTTGACTGACATCTTATATGTACATACATACTCATATATATTTCCATATATATGTATATATGTTTGCTTGTGGTTATATGCAAACTGATCAATTGAAACGCTGATTCACTTGTTTGCGACAGTTAATTAAATAACAATAATACCTTTATCTGACCAACCAGTGAGTGTAACGATTTAAAGCAGAGGCTTGGCAATTATAGCGGATCACTCATACCGTTATTGAAAAACACAGAAGCGTACGCACATCATCATGAGACTTTGTTGGAATAGTACAATATTCGCAGTGCTGCTCTTTATAGCATTGTTTAATGTTGGCAATTGTTTTTGGCCTTTTGGTAAAAAAGACAAAGCTCCACCAAAACCAGAGCCGCCAAAGGAGCCAAGATTGAGTCCTGTTATATTTGGTTGGTATTGATTTAAATAGATAGAGAATATTGTAAGGTCACGATTCAATTTTGCAGTGCCCGGCGATGGCGGCTCTCAAGTCGAGGCACGCTTGACCAAGTCGAATTCTCCTTTCATTATATGCGAGAAGACACATGACTGGTATAATCTTTGGTTGGACCTGGAGCAGTTAGTCATACCGATGGTTTACTGTTGGGTTGATAATGTGAAGCTCTACTATGATAAGGTAACAAGAACAACGCACAATACGCCAGGTGTAGAGACACGTATACCCGGCTGGGGTGATCCGGACGTAGTAGAATGGATAGATCCCACGAGAAACAAGGCTGGTGCTTATTTTAAGGATATCGCCAATGTGTTAGCAGATCTGGGCTATGTACGCCGTCAAAATATACATGGTGCTCCCTACGACTTTCGACGAGCGCCAAGTAAGGTCTTCAAATAGTTTATACTCGAAATTATTAATAGTTTACATTTGCAGATGAGAATAAGCAATTCTTCATTGATCTCAAGCAGCTGGTGGAGGACAGCTATGAGGCTAATAATCAAACAGCCGTCACTTTTATATCGCACAGCATGGGAAGCCCCATGACCCTTGTCTTTTTACAGGAGCAGACAGTCGAATGGAAGGCTCAATATGTTCGTCGTCATATTAGTTTGGCCGGCGCCTGGGCCGGCAGTGTAAAGGCAGTCAAGGTGTTTGCTATGGGCGATGACCTGGACTCGTTCGCTTTGAGTGCCAAAATTCTGCGTGAAGAACAGATCTCGCATCCTTCTACCGCTTGGTTGCTGCCATCGCCGCTCTTTTGGAAACCATCTGAAGTGCTGGCTTCAACACCATCGCGTAATTACACCATGGCTCAGCTGGAGGAGTTCTTCAATGATCTTGATTACAGGACGGGTTGGGAAATGCGGAAAGATACAATGCGCTATACACAAAACTTTAGTCCTCCAGATGTTGAGTTGCATTGCTTATATGGCGATGGAGTTAGCACAGTAGAGAGGTAATTTTCATGCCAAATAACCAGACGTTACTTGAAACTTAATCACATAATTCTTCTGTTAAGCTTGCAATACAAAAAGGACACCATAAACGGGGAAACGCCCAAGCTTAAAATGGGATATGGCGACGGTACAGTAAATCAACGTTCGCTACGTGCCTGCCAGAGTTGGGAGGGCCTCACATCCTCTCATATATCTACACTTGCTCTACAGGGTGTCGATCACATGGGCATTCTGGTCCATCCAGATGTCCTTCAATATGTGCGCACTGTTATGCTACAGCCATAAACTACTTCAAATATACAAATCTGATACACAATATTTTAAATTTGGAGTCTCCAAAAGTGATCAAGTGTTTGCATAAATCGGACAGCTAAATGTTAATTAATAGTTCAATAATTGAAGCTCTAAAAATGTTTGCTTAAATATGATATGTTCATTTAATAAAATGTTTAAGTAGCCAACGATATTTTACTTACTGCCATCACTAATGAGTTTAGTTTACTCAACTATCGATATACCGATAGGAATCTTAAATTTTATACATTTACAATTACTTGCATAAAATTCTTGTCACATTATTGTATACTTTTATTTAAAACTATTGTTACTAACAAAAATGCCACACGGACACTCGCATGATCATGGCCGCGGCTGCAGTCACGAGGCAACCGATATCGACAATGCATTGGAAATGGGCATCGAATACAGTTTATATACAAAAATTGACATCGAGAATACAGAATGTTTGAACGAAGAAACCGATGGCAGCGGCAAGACCGTATTCAAGCCTTACGAAAAACGTTTGGATACCAGCAAGGTGGGTGTGCCTGTGGCAACTAGATAATTTGTACAAAATATATAATATTTTTAAATGCAGTTTGTGCAAAGTGATGCAGATGAAGAGCTTTTGTTCAATGTACCCTTTACCGGCAACATTAAGCTAAAGGGCATTATCATCCGAGGCTCCAATGATAATACACATCCGAATAGGCTTAAACTGTGCGTATTTACTGGGTATCACAATAGTCGTGCCTTAGTTAATGGCCAATATTTGTTTTTGTTGACAGCTTTAAGAATCGACCAAAGATGACATTTGATGATGCCCGTGGTAAGGCGGATCAGGAGTTCGAATTGACGCGCGATTGTCGGGGAGAAGTTGAATACTCGCCCAAGTAGGTGAAAATATATTCAATTAAATTCATATATGAAAATTCTTTGATAGGTTGTATATATTTACATGAAGAAAAAGTATATTGAAATCACTTCAGTCTATATATGAATATAAAAATTTAAAATACTTAAATATTTCTTTTTACAGAGTCGTGACATTTTCCTCTGTGCATCATTTGTCGCTGCATTTCCCTAGCAACTTTGGTGATGATAATACACGCATTTACTATATAGGTCAGTGACTAAAGTTAAATATATGATAAATAAAAAATAGATATTGACTGTCTTCCTTTACAGGATTTCGCGGTGAGTTTACGGAGGCACATTATCATGGCGTGACAATTTGCAACTATGAGTCACGTGCCAATGCCGCCGATCACAAGGAAAAAGCTTTCGATGGTGTGGGTCGAGCCATACAGTAACAAACAGATTAATGAATCGAGAGGAAAGAGAATATAAAAGCACTGAATTTGTAATACTTACGATGCTGTAAATTAAACTTTTACACTATAGAGAAATGGGAATGTTTCTTTAATTTATTCTTTATTGTTTATCTTATTGATTTATGCTTATAAGATGAGATATCGAATCACGTGTGTCAATGTCAATGCATAACGCTTTTATTACTCAATAGTGTTTTCATTTTTCATAATCATTTTTTTCCTTTTTATTGTTTTCCATTTTTTCTCTTTTCATTCTGTATTTTTAATAAATTGTTTATATGTATTTTACAAAGCGTTTACTTAAATGTATTTAATTTTACATTTATTACCGAATAATTTGTTATTTATTGCACTAGTTTTTTTCATTTCTCCTTTTTGGTTTTTCTTTTATTATTTTAATATTTATTTTCTCCATCTGCTCATTTATTGTAGTTGACATTTTCTTCGTTAAAGTATGCGATTTTTGTTTGGTTTTTGTTTTTGTTTTGATATCTAGTACATAGATAAATAGACATACACCATGTGTTCCATTTGGGTAAAAACTTTCGATTTTAATTTCTTCATTTTTTGGTTTTCATCTTATTTCGCTTGAAACACATTGTGCATATACAAATGCAATTAGGAGAAAACTAAATTGTATTCAAATGAATGCTTGAAATTCTTTTTCAATATTTTTTGTTTTTATTTTTTAGGTAAAATTAGTTAATATATATTTACAAATTGTATGCGCATACAAAAAAACGCGTTTATAGGCTGAAAAATATATATATATATATTTATGTGTGTGTATGTGTGTGATATAATTAACAAATTGTAGTTATAGTCAGTGTGTGTATGTGTGTGTGTGTTGGGGCAGGGATTGGGTACTCAAGTGGGAGTAGGCGTAAAGCATAGTTCGGTGATCAATTTGTGCGATTCTTTAGCTAGATATACATACATACATGTTCATATATTTAGTTGAGGATTTGTATATATATATAAATATGTATATATTGGATTTCATATATATGTGTTCGTGTGTGTGTCTGTTTGAGAATGGAATTTAAAAAAAAATTTTTTCTCTTAGTATTTGATTTTTATTTTTTTTGTTAAACAAAATTTGTGCTCTCGTTCCATAGTTGCAGTTAGGGTTTATATATATGTATATATATATATATAATTACATTTGCATATTATATATATATATATATATCGACTGTAAGTACGATTTTTGCAACAAATCAATATTGGTTTTTTTGTTGTTGTTAAAAAATACATTACGTTACTTTTTAGCTGATACCCCCAAAAAATCGTTCAGTTTTTTTGTTTTTGTTTTTTTCCATTTCAAAGAGTTTTACGTTTAGTATAAAAAATCATTATATCGAAAGTATAAAAATCGTATTAAGCCTTTCATTTTTTTTATTTGTTTTTTTGTATATTTTTTTTATTATTGAATTTTTGTTTTAGTTTTTTGGTTTTCGTTTTCTTTTAGCAAAAGCGGGTGTATCTTCATCAAGCAGGTATTTCGAATGTTACTTGGCAGGATTATTATTTTTTTTACATTTTTTTTTTCTGTTTTAAATATATATTTTTAAATAGTTTTATAAAAGCTTTGTGTTGTTGTTTTGTGAATGTTGTGTTGTGATGTTGCAGGCCTGTTGTAGTTTTTTGCTTTTATTTATTTATATATATATATTTTTTTGTAATTTTTGTTGTTGTTTCTGAAAAGTAGTTGCGCTTTTATAGTTAATATGTGTGTGTGTGTGTGGTGTTGTTGTTGTTATTATTATTATTATATAAATTTATTTATGCTTATATAACTCACATTAGGCGACATTGACTTAGCTGACTAATTGTTAATTAATTAATTGGGTTTTCAATACAAGTTTGTATCTACAATGGAATTTATCAATGATAATGGTATCAAAATCTGATGTAATTAAATTATTTAAAGCTTTGTGTTTGTGAATGTGGACAAACCAAATGATAAACATTCTAATATTGCCTTAGTGGAAACATTTAAACTAAAAAACAAACGAATAACTAGAAGAAATTAAAAGAAAACTCAACGTGTTTTTATTAAAAATCTATTTACAATTGAATATTTCGCTACTTATGCACATAGATTTACTATTCAATTTGATAAATATTATTTAGTAATATTTTTTTAACTACACGCTCCTACAAAATGCTCGCTAAATTTGTTTTCATTTGTTTTAACTTTTTAGTTTTATTTGTTGCTTACATTTCAGATTTATCAATGTCGTTAATACAATTGAATTGCCATGAATATTGCTAGATATATAGCCCCGCCCCAGAGAATGTGTTGAATGAAAGTGTTCGAAAATTCCTTAAACACAAATCAAAAGATCTGTGGAAATTGTCGCAGCTCAGTTTGGGGCTAGACATGTGCTTCGGCTTGCCGAGTCTACAGCTTAAAGTTTAACAAGTTTTCATCAATTTATTATTTTTGTTTTTCATACTTTAACTAGCATTCGTTTTTTTTTTGTATTTCATTATGCACTAAATTTTGCGTTGCGCTACTTTATTTTATAAGAATTTTTATATTTTTTATCAATTTTTTTTGTTTGTTTATTTAAATATCTACGGCTAAGTTATGTATTTATTTAGTTTATTTTTATTTTTTGTGGCTTTAATTTATTCAAATCATCATCACATATCAAAAAGTTTACAAAAATTTTACCTTAACATTTCTTTAGCTACATTTTGCATGTTTTTTTTATCTGTTATTTATTTATGATGTTTTTCGTGCGTTTCAGAATAAAACATACAACAATAGATATTTTATTTATTTATATTTGTTTTGTTTTTTTTTCGCTAACTTTTACCCACTTAACAATTGTTGTTCTCAGTTATTTTTGTTTTTTTAACAAATTTCACATTTAACTTGTGAAATTCTCGTTAATTATTTGAACCAAATCTTATTCCATTCGTTTTTAGTTGTTAAACATTTTTATTTTAATTCACTTATTTTACGTTTTTAGTATGTTTTTCTATTAGTGTACGTGTGGGCATGTAAAAGGCATTTGTTTGGTTTCTTTTTGTGTATTTTTCATATCATTAAAAATGTTTTTTTTTTTTGGAAGAACTGAGCTGAAAAACCTGAAATTACTTTCACTATTTGCTAGCATTCCAATTATGTCAGCATATGATATGCCCAATTTAAAATTTAAGGCTCTATATATGTTGTTATACGTGGAAAATAATACACATTCGAGTTGATAACTCAGAGAAATGATTGATAAAAAAGTTTTCAATATTTTATTGTTTCCAACTTGTTTTGTTTTTCCAACTAAAGCGCGTGTCTTTGTTTTTAAGCTTAGTGATATTATGTCTATGTATTAGTTATTAATTAATGGAATAGTTTAGCTTACATTGATTTTCGTTTTCTTTCATTACCAACCAAATTGACCAAATTCTACACATGATTTTCTCCTTCCTTCAGAACTTTAATAACTAATATTGCTTTCCATTGGGTTCACAATTGATGAGAGAGAGAGAGAGAAAGAAAAATAAATAAAAACTAAAAAGCAATTCCAGTTGATTTTTTTTAAGATGCTTACGAATTAAATCAACAAATTCAAATTTGATTAAAAACGAAATTCCAACATGTTTCGATTCCACACATTCCGCCATAATATTTATAGCACACGTCGCCGTTCCAAAAAGTATGCAATATAATTTTGTCTTTAGCGAAATTGCGATGAAACATAATTGTTTGTTATTCTATATAGTGTTAATTGCTGTAACAATTGCATTTGTTGCTAATTTGCTGCCTTGCTTCTTGAATAAACTCAATGCATAACTCTTGACTATGAAACGCACAGTTAATGCTGAAATTTTTAAAAATTTAGAATTTAGGGAATTCAATTATTTATTTTAATATTTTGAAAAATTTTCTAATTTTTCATTGGAAATATTCCTCAACATTTTAAAAGTTGTAAAATAGTTTTCAGCTGGCGTTTCTTTCGTTCAGTTATTTAGCTTTCATTATTATTAATTATTAAACAACTATACAAGCTCTCACAATTCTCAACTTCTTTTCGCTGGCTACACATTTTTGTGTTCTTCGGCGCTGTTTGTTAACAATTTTTGTTTTGCTTTCAATTTTATTTAGTGTTTTATTTGATTGAAACAATTCAATTACAATTTAATTATTATGACATGCTTGAAATTTGCTTTTCATTTCATTATTTATACAACATTTCCAAATGAGTTTATTTTCGTTTTGAGTTTTAAGTCTATCAAAATGTTTATCATATTTTTTTTGTGTGTGTATTGCAAAAATGTGCGATTGTTTGGTTGTGTGTGGGTGTGTGTGTAGGTGTGTATAAAAAATTGTACATGTTTTTGTTTTAAACGTTTTTTAAATGAATATTAGGCGAAGTTTTGTGTATTGACTGTCTTCGAAATGGAATCGTTTGTTGATATCGCAAATGAAACAGCGCAGCTGACGCTTAGTTATTTTCGCTTCTCTTTAATTTGTAATAAATTCATTTACTGTCAGACAGCATGGCCGTTCTTCTCTGGATTAGCACGCTTGGCGGCAGCTGCCGCGCCCATACGCCTTGCCCGCCAACGATCAATAGGCGTGTAGCAGCATATGAAGAAGGGCGGCACATGCGGCGAGCCACCTGAACTCGAGCTGCCGCTATGGCTGAGCTGCGACTCGACCGTGAGCTCCGTCTGGACGCCGCTGCTGGTCATGCGCACCTCTGCCTGATAGGGCGGCGGCGATGTGGCATGATAATCCAGCATGGGTGCCGCCTTGCATATAACGCTCGGCGGCTCCAGTTCGTGCAGCTCAAAGCTGTCCGAGCGCGTGCTCGTCGGCGTTGTGGTCGAGGGCCGGAACTCGTGCGAGCTGCTCTCGACCATGGCAGTGCGATAGGTAGCGGCAAAATAGTTTGTCTCCAGATAATGACACGATTCGAATAAATAATCATCGAATTGCAAACGTGTCGTACTGTCGCCAGCATGACCCATAAAGTTGCCCTTGTGCGACTGTGTCGATGGCGAGCCCAAGGCTATGGGCAACATGGAACGGGACATGGGCATCAGCTCTAAAGAACTAGAGCAGCCAGCAGGTGCAGCTGCAGAGGTTCTGCTTGTGCGTTGTTCTTGCTGCTGTTTGTGGTGGTAGTGCTGCTGCTGCTGTTGCTGTTGCTGTCGCTGCTGTCTTTGCTTCATATCAACAATTTCTATTTCTTCTATATCACTAAAACTATTTAACTGTTTCAACAAATAATGCACATCATTTCGTTTCGTATAATCAGCGGCGTCGTGTTGTTGCTGCTGTTGCAGCAACTGTTGCTGTTGTTCTAACATTGCCGTCGTCTTAGTTTTTATTGTGTCTAGTGCTTGCAATGTTAATGGAGTGCTAACGACGGCAATGCCACGACTTGTGCTACGTGTGAGGTTGTCGATTTGTCGCAACTCGTGGTGCTGCTGCTGCTGCTGTTGTTGTTGCTGTGGTTGTTGTTGTTGCAGCTCTGGATAAGCCAGCGCCAGGCGTTGCTGCAGCGTTGCGCTGCTGAACGCTGACGAGGCGCGATGTGGTTCCAGTTTAGCAGAGTCGAGTATACGATTGAATTTAGCTAATGCGCTAGATGCTGTTGATGAGCTGGTTGTTTCTGTTGTTGTTGTTGTTGTTGCTGCGGTGATCTTATGTCTTAGTTGTTGTTGTTTGGTTTGAGGCACTGTTGTGACGGTTTGTATATTATCACCAACACGGCGACGCCCACTGCCCTGAGCATCGACGACATCCGCAACGTTGTCAACAATGACAACGCTTCGATCATCAATGGATGCAGTCTTATTGTCATCCACATCATCATCATTATCATTGTCATCATCTTCGTCGTCGCAGACATCCTCATCAACATCATCAATATCAACGCCATCCTGCAGCGTTTCAGTAACATTTAAATTCAAATTCAAATGTAAACGCTGCCGCAACAGCAAACGTTGCGTCTTCGTATCGATGGGCACAGCGCCTGGTGGCGCCGGTGCCGCAACGGATGCAGTTGCTCCAATTAAACCATGTCCGGCGGCTATAACGGCCGCCGCTCGCTGCTGTGCTGTGGCCCTAGCTAAATTCTTTTGTAAAATCAACTTCCTCGACGAAATGATGTCATTATTGTCGCTCCCCCGCGATTACCGGCTGTCGCGGGTGGAGCGAGGCCGCCCCTAACTGGAGGTACTAGCGATGGGCGAGACGGGTGACAGCGGGCTACGGACAGCCTGTTCGCGCGGACAGCCAGTGAGTGTGATTACCAGCTTACGGCTACCGGCCTGATCGCGATGCTCGCACAGCCAAACGCCCTGCCAGGTGCCCAGCGAGAGTTTGCCATCGGTAATGGGGATTGTCAGTGAGCTGCCCAGAAAGCAGGCCTTCACGTGTGCGGGCTGTAAAATAATCGAATAGAATAATTCAAGATTTCCATATATTTATATAATATATTTATATAGCTACCATATCGTCGGGTCCTTCGCACGAATGCCTGTAGGGCAAACCTTCGGGAACTATTTTATTCAACATCATTTCCATATCGTCTCTGTGAATAGACATATATATATATCATATATTTATATATTAAATATCTTGCGCCTATATGACTCACCTGACGTCTGGATCCCAACTCTCGTTTAACGCTAAACTCGCCGAGGTGTGAAGTACTGTAAGAAAAAAAAAACAGAAAACACAGAGAAATAATTGCAAATGAGACAAAGTGAATGCGGCGTCAATTAATTTGTTGTTTAACTTTTAATTCGCTAGCCAATAGGCATTTTAATAGCTAACAGTTATTAGACCATTACATGGGCGTGCCACGCCCCAAACACACAATGCATTTCCAATTGAGTTGTAAAGCTAATTAACCAAAATGTTTAACACGAATCGTAATCTCTGCAAGCGAGCTCCAAGGTCTGAGTCTGCGGTATATTAACGAGCTCAAGGCACGCCGCGAAAGCTATTTTCAATCAATTTTAATTACAAATTCCACAAAATTATATGACAAAGCAATTGTTATGGTCGTTAATTCGAGGGTAGCTTATTTAAAATTAAAAAAAGGAAAATCTTCGCCGATTCAGTTGACTTTCATTTAGCTGCATGCCAGATAACGGCATGCAGATTGAGCTTTAAGCAATTAAGTACAGTAGAAACTGGCTAACAAGAAATCAGGTCTTAAATGTTAGAGGCGAAATATTTGAGGCCATTCATACATTTCAAAATTATTTAAATTATTTTTTACATTTTTTATATTTTTTCTATTTATTGTTTGTTTATATATTTTGTATTTCTTTTTTAACTTTTTTCACTTATTTTATTCTTTTTTTTTTCAATTTTCTTATATTTTTTTTTATTTTATTTATTTTTTTATATATTTTTTTTAATTTGCTTCTTTTTTCTTTGAAGAATTTTCCATCAACTATTTTATATCAGTTATCTGATGTCTACCTAAAGACAAAAAACAGAGCGCCCAACGTTAAGATTATCATCAAAAAAATAGTTGAAATTTTCTAAGAAAACGAATCCCTCTCACATTTCAGATGACATTCAGACGGCTAGCTACATTCCAGCGCCACCTGAAACAAAATTTGTTTCAAGTGTGTGTATCCAAGTGTTGATACAGAATATTCCGAAATTCTGGCTTGACTATGAATTAATTTCTAAGAAAATTCATTGAATGAAGTATTAAGAATTTCACTTTAATCTAGGCAAGACTTTAAGTAACACTCGAATAGCAGAGCCCCAGAGATTTTGTTAACAATTTATGCTTAGGTTAATGTTAAGAAATTATGTTAACTTTAAGCGAAAAGTCTATATATAAATATATATTGTATGCATATATTAGCTTAGAAACTCGCTCCGAGCTTCACTTGGCCCACAGTTTATGGAAAATGTTTGGACATGTCACATGGACACAGAGTTACAGTTATATGTGGACCCTAGTTTACAGTTGTTTGCTGTTAAACATGGCCAATTCATGTCTTGTTTGACTTTGAGGCATTTCGACAAAAATTTCATAGCCTAGTTTTTGCGGCTTGCTTTACCCGAAAAGGGCGAAGATGGGCAAATTGGCCAAATGCCAGCAAAAGAGACCGACGAGCATTGAAATTGAATACTAGTACTTAAAATCATTTAGTGTTAATAATAAATAGAGCAATAGACCGGCCGTAACACTTAAATTTGCACACTAATTGCATATTCATGAATAAAAGAGTAGAGACAACAAATGTGTGGAACGCTGCGCAAATTAGTTTATTATCAAATCCCACAGATGTCATTCCAAGCCCCCGAACGATCTATGTGCGTAAGAGAGTGAGTTTCAGTGTGTGTTTGTTTGTGTTTATCAAAGTTTAGCTTTCAAGTTTTGTTGTGGGTTCTTGCTAAATAATTTCCGAAAAAACGATTATGTCATGTCGGACATGTGTAAATGGACAACAGAAATTTGAATGTAACACAGACAAAGACAAACAAACATAAGTCGAGAATGCTGTAGGCTAGAGGGCAGGACTAGCAGTTACCCTGTAAGGGATTTTAGTTCTTGTATAAGCATGTAACATATAAACATGAATGTAAAATTAACGAAAGCTGCAATTGTAAGTCAATATCTCCTATAGTCCTGCATCGATATTTATCGATTGCAAGTAAATGTGGTTAGTATGTTTGATTTTCTTCTAATACCTCAATGTATAACTTAGTGCAGCTAGCACTATTATATAGATATATCTTTCAATAAACAGCAACTGAGATAAAATCGATATTTATCGATATCAGTTATTTAAAGTTAGCTGACAAATTGATTTCTGTATAGAGTCTATACCATATTCGAGACATATATTATGCTTATGATAATTTGTCTTCATCAAATTAAAATCGATATTTATCGACTTTCGCTAAAACTTCTCATTTACATTACAAATTAATTTAATGGATGTATTTAAATCCAAAATCATGGAATATGTCTCTTGTAATATGTGTTCCACGCAAATGATTGTAGCTTAGATAACTTCAATATATATCGATTACTACAAAACAGATAAATAGAGATTTACTAATAGTAAACAAGTCTCAATGCTTAAATTAAGCTTTCATAATAGGCATTAAACATATTAGAAACTAATCTTAAGACAAAATCGATATTTATCGATTTTTCAAATATATTAACGATTTCGGCTGTTGCTTTCCTTTGCCTGTAACATGCACAGCTTCAATAGAGCATCGCCCATTAAAATTTAATAGGAATACACGGTATACCCGACAGCGTTAAGCGACAAATCGAAAGATTGAATCAGAGCCAGGAGGCAGAGCAGAGGATGTTGTGGGCAGGGAGGAAATAAACAAGCCCGAGGCACAATCTCAAATGGACAAGCAGACAATGCAAATGAAAATGAACTCAAAACTGACAGCCAAAGGCAACAGCCCCTATACAAATTTGCAAATTGATTTCAGCCAAGAGCTGAACGAGACGGAGGCAGCGGGTCATAGGCCAATTGTGGCAGGAGGCGGGCAGCGACCGCAATTAGTTGACACTCGCCAATATCGCGGGAGGAAATGAAGGACGCGAAACTGACTGCAGTTCCGGCAGCCATTTACATACGTATGAACATATATGTAACCGTGCCAACTATAAATATGTTAATGCGCTAACATAATTGTGCGTATAGCGGCTTTCGAGTGGCCAAAAAGGTGGAAAACCCTGCCACAACCCCTCACTCTCCCTCTCTCTTTCACTTAACTGACACTATTTTCATGCTGCAAGCGCCACAACAAACGGCAAAGTATAGAGGAAAACGGGAAGGGGCTTGGAATAGGAGCAAGCGGCTTTAATGTGATTTAGCCATGGTAGAGCCGCAGCAGCAGCAGCAGCAGCAGTGCAGGCAGGCAGGTTAAGGGGTGGAGCTGGGGCTGGGGCTGGGGGAAGCGACATTTGTACGCGTCGTAGCATAACCCTTGTTTGCCAATGGGCAGATGTGCTAAAGGCGCTCAGGAAACACATGCAAGCGCGTAACGGAGGCAAAAGCTTATGGAACGCCACGTTTTAGTGCACTGCAAAAAAATGGGGCAACAACTCGCACATCAAACTATAAATTGTTTGAACAAAATGTAATAATAAATTGATTATTATTTATTTTTAATACGATTGATATATGATTTATGATTTACAGATTTTATTTACAATAGATATGCAGAGCAAATGCATTCTAATCTTAACTAATTTTAGCTATGGAACCAATTTTATTTATGCTAAACGACTAAGATTCTTGAACATAGAAACGCTTTGGCCTTAGAGAATTTATTGTTTAGGAAGTAAGAGTTAAATTAAGAGCCTTCCTTCTCAAGCCTATCAGATTCATAAATTGTCACTATAATTACAATAATCATATTGCACTATAAAGGTGCACTTAACTCTTCTTCTTTAAACTTAAAGCCTCATCCACGCAAAAGCTTAGCATATTTTTCGTGCAGTGTAGCACGCATTCATTGAGTGGCAGATGGCGTTTTGTTGACTGCAGGGAAAGCACAGGGTGTTACAAGTGTGTGTGCGCACACATACACATATATGAAGGTATGCGTGTGTGTGTGAGTAGGAGTTAGATGTGAAATTTCGAGTGGCTGTTGTTGTTGTTGTTGTTGGCTTCTCACATTTAGCGGCGCGTTTAGGCACTACAAAAGTTGCTAATGTTTTTAAAAGAGGCCTTTTTTATTATACAAAGTCAAACATTCTGACAGCATAAGCAAGCACAAGGCACACACACATAAAACCGCAACACACACACACACACGTGTATAGAGGAAAAGCGTCTGCGGCTACTGCAAATGCTGAACAATGGAACTGCGGCTCGCTTATGTTTCTCATTCATTCATATATGCATGTGCATACATAAGTAGCAATTGTAACTCTGTGTGTGTGTGCGTGTGTGTGTGCATATTACATGATATAACGCAACACGAAACGCTTAAATTCATCAACCTTATTACACAGCGCGTTGGCTTCATTTTGTGGTCAAGAGCTGAAGCAGAAGTAACCGAAAAAAAAAAAAAAATGTTTATAGCATGCTTACAGGCGCAGTCTGAGCAGGCGGGGTAAGAGTTCAGAGCGGTGAAGCGGGCGCAGAGGTTAGCAAGGGCAAAAGTAGCACGAGACGCCAGGTGCAAGTGCACCTGCCAACCGCTCATTAAAACACAGAAGAAAATATTATTGTCATATGCCTGAAGATTTAATACACTTGCAGAGCAAACTTAGGGCAGACTTACAATGCAGAAAACTAGGTTTGCTTTAAAGCCTAAATAATATACTATATATAATTTATGGGCACAATAACAGAAGCTTTAAAACGACTTTGTTGCAAATATATTAGAAGTATTATAAAGCTTGTAATATTCGCACTTAGTTGGACTATCTTGAAGGAAAAAGTTTTCATTACAGAACTCACTTATGATAGACCTACAGAGTATTTCTATCCAACCAATTTCTGCTATGTGACCTATATAATATTTATGTAATAATATGATAAGTCTGCCATAATCTTTATCTATGTTAGAAACATAATGATGCTTGTATTATTCAAGTTAAGTTAGATTAGAGTTCAATGTTATAAAGATAAAATTAAAATGTATATAATACATTTTTTAGAAAGTTTCTCTATTGTGACTATTCTTATAAATATCT